TTGTTTTATTGATAACAAATTGTTGAGAAGAAATTTCAATAGTATCATCAAAGTTTTGTTCTTTTAAAGTGTATGAGATTTTTGTAATAGAATCAATTACTTTTTCAGTGAGATATGAAAATAAATCTGCTATTTTATGAAATGAATAGACTGTTATTATCAAAATTAGAGTTGTAAAATTCTAATTTTTAGAATTTGATCAACTTGTTGTTTTATCCAATAACTTTTGTATGAATTTTATTTTATTTTGATGTTAACCAAGTACCATATGATCATCATATTGGTTTCATACTAATGTGAATTAATTTTAGTATTCTCTTTCAATTACTACTATTGATTCAAAGTAATATTTGCAATCATGATACATTTTGAGTTGTTTTTCATTTATGAGTTGTTTGATAAATTGATCTTGTTGATTTCTAAGTTGATATGTTTTATTTTTGAGACTATTATAAATATAATATTATTCTGGCTTCCATTGTAATCGAAATTTGTTTCCATGAGTTGTATATTACTTTATATTATATAACAAAACTTTATCATCAATTTGGAATTCTTTCATGAATTTATACAAAAAACCTGGTTTTATTTTAGCAAAAATCTGTTTTTATTGTCAAAGTAAAAATGATTTTTAAAAGATCTAATATATTTTCTTTTTTTTACTGAATAAAAAATGAATCTATATAAGAAATCCAGTTTTACTTTAGCAAAAATCTGTTTTTTAAAGATTCGACATAATTTCATTTTTTATTTAGTAAAAAAAATGGAACTATGTTAGATCTTTATCATTTTTATTTCAGTAATAGAAATGAATTTTTACTTTTATTTATCAGTATGTATTACATAATCTTCCTGATCTATTATAGAATTTCTATTTTTGATGATTGAAAAAAAACTGATAGATCTAGTTATAATATTAATATTAATAATTTCAGAATGATTAAAATTACAGAAATAACCAAAAGCTATTGGTGTAATAATCCACTGTACCAAAGCTAACAATGTTCATTCATTTTTATTCTTTATATATTTATGTGCAAAATAGTATTTTACTTCTCTATAAAATTCTTGTTCTTCTAAATCAATAAGTGCATTTTTGTTCTGAATATTTTTATTAACCAATAGTGTTGTCTGAAAAAAAATAGAGTAATTATTAGCATTTGTCTGAAAAGAAAATTAACATGTTATATATATACTGCTATCAGTAATTAGCATGAGATATGTCTCCTTTCTAGCTGATGAATTGTGAATTAATTATTTCTTTATTTGCAGTTTGAAGTTTTTTATAAACCCAAATATCTGACAAAATCTCCTAAAATTATTATCATACTGGACCATGTCAGTATCAGTACATATAGTAACTAGTTCACAAATGAAGTTTTGGATTAGATAAAATGCTAGTGAAAAATAAAAAAATACCTCTTCAAGTTTATCTATTTCTTGTGCTATAATATAGTAATATCTAAGCAACTGTTTTTCTGGTTTGCTAAGTATATGTTTTTGTTCTGATACAACAGTAATTCATCTTTACCTTCAATTCCAAAATTTTGATTTTTCTCAGACTCCTTTGTATTTTTTTTTGAATTATTAAACACTCATTTATTAATCTCTAGAAAATATTGAAGGTGAGAAAATTGATTCCATATAGTAATTTGGTTGATTAAATTTGTATAAGGATGTTGTCTTAATTGAACAAGAAATAACAATATTTCACAAAGCCTTTTCATCAGATATTGTCAGGTTATCCATATTGATCCAGTATTTTGAATAGATTTGGCAATATGAAGAAGATAATGGAAGGAAATCAAGCTACTAGTAGTTGAGCAAATTCTCTTTGATAATATTCTCTTTTATAATGCACTACAAACTTGAAAAAAAGTCTTTTAATTTTCTTTAATTCATCAAAAGTAATCATTTTTTTAAACTAAGTTTGCATGCATCAACAAGCTTTGTTCATTTTTTTAAATACCTGAAAAAAATAAAAGCTAGTCAGGCTAGAATAGAGAATTTCTAACCAAATATATGAGGTTTTTTATTCAAATTTTCAGACAAAAGTGGAATTGAATACAATATAATTCAATTTGTCCACTTCTCTATCTTAAAAGTATTAAAATATTGGAGTATATCAATCAATAGATGTTCAAACTTTGTATGGCATGTTTTTTCAATTTTTTTCAATAATATTTTCAATTTATTTTCATGTAAGAATACTTTTTTACATGTAAAGTGTTAAAATAAATTTATTAATTGAGATAGTTTTCAGTTTTAATTTTAATAAAGCTTATTTTTTTATTTATTAAATAGTGAAAAGATCTAAAGATCTATAGTATAGAACAGAAATATTTAAATACATAATTAATATTTAATGAATTACAAATAAATTAATAATAAAATAGAGTGTGATTGGTTCTAAATTATTAATTTTAAAGGTGACATATCTCCAAGTTATACTGTACTTAATGAAATATGTATAAAATATAAATAATAATAAAAGTAATTAACACAAATTTAAAATAATAAATAAAAAGAGAAAAAGAATGAATAAAAAGAAAAGTAATTAAAAACAAAGTGTGTTTAAATTAATAATGTGATCTATATTTTACATTTAATCTATTTGGTGAAATATTAAGAAATATTAAATATAAATCTGTGTTAATTTCTAATATATTATACAAAAAAAATAATAAATATAATATGAAAAATAATAGATATGATACAAGAAATTACAAGAGTATATGAAAATTGTTATAATTTCAAATGCTCTTCAAATATTTGAGAGTGAATATTAATATCATCCAAATAAATTAATATGAATTAATATTTATATTCAGCTAAAATAATATCTATAGCTTGCAGGATTATTATATACTTCAAAGAACATTAAATTAAATTCAAATAAATCTTGTTTTAAAATAAAAGTTATTTTTGATTGGCTGTTTTCTTCTATTAGTATTTGTCAATATTCAAAAGGTAAATTCAAAGATGAAAATTATTTTGAATTTTCAAGACTGTCTAATATTTCATTAATTCTTGAAAGTAAATATTGTTGTGATTATCCTGTAAAAAAATTTTCAAATATATCAGACAAAAATCTAGTTTTTTATATTAATCCATTTTTTATCCAGAATATTCTCTGGATAAAAAATGGATTAATACAAAAAATTCAGTTTTACTTTAACAAAAATCCATTTTTATTGCTGGAATAAAAATGATTTTTAAAAGATCTAACATACTTACATTTTTTTCACTGGGTAAAAAACAGATTTATACAAAAAAAATCTGGTTTTACTTTAGCAAAAATTCATTTTTATTGCTGGAGTAAAAACAATTTTTAAAAGATCTGACATACTTCTATTTTTTTTTACTGAATAAAAAATGGATTTATACAAGAAATCCAGTTTTACTTTAGCAAAAATCTATTTTTTAAAAGATCTAATATACTTTTATTTTTTATTTAGTAAAAAAAATGAAAGTATGTCAAATCTTTACTATTTTTACTCTGACAATAGAAATGAATTTTTACTTTTATTTATTAGTATATATTATATGATCTTTCTAATCTATTATATAATTTTTATTTTTGATGATTAAAAAAAACTATAAATCTAGTTATAGTATTAATATTGATAATTTCAAAATGACTAAGATTACAGAAAATAAGTAAACTATAACTAGAAGCTACTGATATAGTAACATACTATATCAGAGCTAACAATATCAATTCATTTTTATTTTTTATATATTCATATGCAAAATAGTATTTTACTTTTCCATAAAATTCCTGTTTTTCTAAATTAATAGGTATATTTTTGTTTTGAACATTTTTATTAACCAATAGTATTACCTGAAAAAAATAGAATAATTATTAGTATTTATCTAAAAAGAAAATTAATATATCACATATATATTGTTATTTAATAATTAGTACAAGATATATTTTCTTTCTGACTGATGAGTTGTGAATTAATTATTTTTTTATTTGCAGTTTGAAGCTTCTCATAAATTCAAATATCTGATAAAATTTTCTAAAATTATTATCATGCTGGACCATGTCAGTATTAGTGCACATAGTAACTAATTTACGAATGAAGTTTTGGATTAAATAAAATACTGGCAAAAAATGAAAAAATATCTTCTCAAGTTTATTTATTTCTTGTGCTGTAATATAGTAATGTCTAAGCAACTATTTTTTCAGTTTGCTAAGTGTATATTTTCATTCTGATATCAACAATAATTTATCTTCACCATCAATTTCAAACTTTCAATTTTTCTTAAACTTTTTTATATTTTTCTTTGGATTATCAAACACTTATTTATTAATTTCCAGAAAATATTAAAGGTGAGAAAATTGATTTTACACAGTAATTTGGTTGGTTAGATTTGTGTAAGAATACTGTCTTAACTAGTGTTTCTATGAACTGAACTGAACCGGACTTTTGCCTGGGTTCGAGTTTGGTTCGAAATTTGAACCGAACTCAAACTGAACTTTGGCTTGTGTTCAAGAAAGGTTTTAAGTTCGAACTGAACTCAAACCAGACTTTCATTAGAGTTTGAGTATGGTTCGATGTTTGAACCAAACTCGAACTGGACTTTCATTTAAGTTCGAGTATAATTTGATGTTTGAACTGAACTCGAACTGGACTTTCATTTGAGTTCAAGTAAGATTCGATATTTGAATCAAACTCCATTCGAGTTCAATGTTTGAATCGAATATGAACCAGAACCAGAACCAGACTTTTAGATGAGTTCATGAAAATTCACACCAGATCTTTGAATTAACTTATAATTTCTAAGTTTTATCAGCCTTTTTTAGCTGAATTCAAAATTAAGTTAGCTTTGCTGTTTTTAGTATTTAATATATAGTTTAAAATTATTTATAATGTACCAAGCATAACATGCCAAAATTATAATATTTTTATTTTTCAGAATCATAAATTATTTAGAAAATATGACATAATATTTATTTTATTTATGGAACCATTTTTCAAATTGAAGTTGTACTATACCTTCCAAATTGATATCTCCTCATACCATTCATTCTTGCTATCATTCCACACATCTTCAGCTTCGCTTTCTTTTTCATCATCTTTATCTGTAGCCTCACTCTCCTTACTTTCATCCACACTCTCCTCTTTATCGAACCCATTCTCCACTTCTGCTGTCTCACCCTCCACTTCTACTGCCTCATCCTCCTCACCACTAAGGTTGCTTGCCGAAATCTCTTAGTGACTGTCTAAATTTTGTCGAAATTATAATAAACTATTAGTAAATAACCCG